TCATGTTTTCGATTGGATTTTGATTTGGAGCTGTCCTTGTATTTAACATGACTATTGTTTCGATGCTTTCGTGCTATTAAGACTGGGTCACTTTTAATGAAATATTATCTACAAATATAATAATATGTCTTCTGTAGTCATCGATTTAGTGGTCCTTTCCTCCCCCTTGATTTGTGTATTGCCTGTTTATGAAATTAAACTCATTTCTCCCTATCAATCTGGTTCATTTGATAATGTATACATAATGGGAAAAGGAATATGCATCAAGATTATTTCATATATACAGGAAGGTTAAAGTTTTTTCCTGGTAATGAGGATAAAGACGCAGGTGGGGTGCAGAGAAATGAATAATGGAATTCTTCTGTCTCTATCTATTTCGCCCTTAGACCCTTATAGATATTATATATATTTATATATATACGGAGCTTTCATTTTGTTCAGGGTTTCTTGCGGGAGAGGAAGTCATCCCTTTCATGGGTTGCGCTTAGAATACTATGATCACATGGCTTAATGCTGAACCCCCCCCCAATGATTTCTTCGATATTTTGGTTTATTTTTTCTGCTTAGATTGGTCAGTTACTGAATTAACCTATTAAATCCTCCATATAAGATAAAGGCGAGATGTGTGATATCACGAAACTTTTATTCACATCATAATATTAAGTGCTTCCCACAGAACAAATCCAGAGTCGAAAGAGAAATTAATCGTCCAAATAAAAATACAACATAATCCTATATGTTCGATCTCTGCCGTCCTTCAAAGGAAAGAAAAAAACATATACGGCTTAGATATGTGTCATTAACAGCTAAATAGTTATTTACTGCAGTAATTAATGTATCATTAAGAAAGACACAAAAGGAACAAGTGTTCGGTGGTCAAAATCTTCTGATACAATGAAGTGGCAAGGAATGATTCGCCTGAAGGGATTATAGAGTGAGAAGTACAGTTGAATACACGATGTGCATAGTGGCACATTGGCATTGCGGTATCTGACATTGCA